CGTTACAAGTGTTACTAAAGTCTCCTGTTGCTCAAAGGGATTAGAAAGCAAATATTTATCTCTGTTATTTCAGTTTATTTACTTTGTATTTGACTGAGCTTTGAATATTACCAATTTCACAGAAAATTACTACCCGCTGGCAAGAACCAGGATCAGAGGTACTAGCGATTCCAGCTGTCACAGTTCTCCTGGGAAGCTCTGGGACAATGAAGTTGCTTTTTGCCCTCTTTTGTGAGCTGGGCACATCACATTAGAGAGCCATTGGGATTCCTGTCACTGGCTTCTGTGGTTGCATGGGCAACCCTCCTCCAATCTCACCACTGGGGACATCTGCCCTATGCTCGTACCTCATATGAGAGCAACAGCAGGTAACATAGACAGTAGGAGAAGTGGGCAGAAATCCCCTACAGACTCCTAGAAAAAAGGCTAACATCAGCACTGCCTCTTTGGCTTATCTTCTTTGAGGAGTTTAATGACTACCTTATTCCAACACAGCAAAGCATTTTTCACACAGACTTAACTCTGGGTGCTGGCATAATTCAGTGGAAATCAGACTACTCGTATAAGGGCACACTTGTAGAAATTAGCTTAGAGCTATCTTTGTGTTAAACCAAAGGCAAGCTTCTTGATCAGCCAAATCCTATTTGAAATTCTCAAAGCCTTGTAGATGGTCACAATAGGAACTGCTCACAATAGGCACTAGCCACATCAAAGTGCTGCTGTCTCAGAAGCAAACAGGAAACATTCTAAAAGAATTGAAGTAGTAATAAATAACATCACGATCTTGGGATTTTGCAAGGGCAAAGAAGGAAAATGAGGCACTTCCCTTCTGCAGGAATTATTGCAAGGAAAGAGACTCGTTACATCTCCATTCTTTTTCCTAGAGTCCTCACATGAAGAAAACAAACCTGCCTAATTGCAAAAGTAAAGCTAGGTGTGGCTGGAAGTCTTGGAAGGATTTTGGCTGAAGATACAAAAACCTTAGCAAGTTCTGCAAAGTATTCCAGCTGGAATCTCCTGGAGACATGCTGAATGTTTTGTATTCCGCCACCTGGCCCAAGCCCACCTAACATTTAAACTGAGCTATATTAGTCAAGAAGGAATTAAATTATTTGATTCGAAACCCGGAACACCGAGCACAATAAAATGGAAAAACAGGCAGCTATAGAAATGCTGCTGTTGTCCTTCTCTGCAGACATGCAATGCCTGACTTCAGTGGAGCTACTAGTGAGAGAGAGCAGCACGTTTTATATATTGCCACATCTTAGAGTGTTGAAAATTGAGGCAGCTCCATTGAAGTCAGTCATTGCATAACTGTAAGGTGAGACAAGTGCTTCCTGACACCTGCATGATTAAAAGACAGCCACCTTGTGAGTACTGAAGTCCTAATCTAACACTACCCTCAGCAGAGATGCTGGCAAATATGAGAGATATGGAGTCTTTTGAAAAGGAATGCACAACTGCTAATTACTATCTTGTTGACCCTATTAAGGTGCTATAGCTGTGCAGAAATGTGAGCAAGGCCTTCAAACAAATGCCAAAGAAGTTTGTTGGATGCATATACAGCATTGCTAATTCAGAGATTTATTTTGTTGCCTATTAATTGGGGTTCCTTGTTTTAAAGGGAAAATAAACATTCATTTTTGTAAAATTATGCTTGTTTGCTGGAAATTAATTTTTGTTTAGTTATAACAAAAAGAATTGTTGAGGGCAATACAATAATAAGTGTTGATGTAAGTTTGAATAAAGAGATTGAGACAGCAAATAAGAATTGTAAATTTATCTATTAATTGATGTGGCTATTATAGGTTTAGGGAGTGAACAAGATATGAAATATGAAAAGATATTGAAAGGAGAAATTCTTTGGACCATTTGTCAGTATAGTTTCTGGTATGTGAATTCATTATATTTCTCTCTATCTAGCTAAAAAGACAAACTATTTGGTTTTTTTTGCAATTAAAAGAAAAAAAAAAAAAACAAACTAACTCTCCCTCAGTTTCTACTTAACTAAACCTTTGACTTTATATAATAGTGGTAAAGTGGCTGGTCAAAATTAAGCTAGAAGCTACAACTATAATAGTAAGGTAAATGTGGCAATCATGAAATTTTATCGATGCAACTTTATTAGAACTATAATGCATCTCAGTGCACAAGTTAGCACAAACAAGATGATGAAATCTTATTCCAGTCCTGTGTAGCTGTTTAATTAAAGTCTGAAAAAAATATTTTTTCTCTTTCACACAAATATTGTAAAAATAGTATATATTTTTTTAAACAAGGTGTTATTAAAATTAACCAAGAAGCCAGCTGGATTCCTTCTTTAACACAATTGTTTCCCTCCTTCACGGATGTATTATTTTTAAACATTAATAAAAAGATAAGGATTCTGAAAAAAAAATAATATTCACAATCATATTTTACTCCTCTACTGAGTGGAGAAAGAAATAAAAAAAGGGTACATTATGTCTGAGATGTGCTGTACACACAGCTTGCTCTGAGAGCTGCACTCCATGATAGCATCCTGTGTGTGTACAGCACCAAGACAGAGAGCAGTCTTATGTAAACCCAGCAGCAAAGGTGCTCTACATGATATCTGCTGGGACCAAGCCCAGACAAGCAAACATGCTGGTGTATGGTTTGGAACCTGATTAAACCAAGAGTTTAGAAACCACCTGAAAATCCTGCTGAGCATGTGACATTTGTCAAACAAAAACTCCCCAGTAGCTGTGCCAGCACTGCTCCAACTACTCCCCAGACCAATACCCATATCTGCTTCTACAACATCACTGAACCATAACAAATGACAGCTCTTCATAAATAAATAATGGTAATAAACCAAAGGCTTGCCTAAAGCCAGCTGCCACCATGATACTTACATAGCTCTGCAAGGAGGACTGTGAGACCTAGGAAACACATTGAGATTCAGAGCTCAACCTAGAAAAGAGAAGGTTAAGAGGTGATTTGATCACAAGTTATATGCAAGGAGAGAAGACCTCTTATGCCGGACAGCACTTTGATTTAACAGATAAGCTAGATAAAATGAAAATGAAACAAACTTAAAATGCAGATGTGTGAACATTTTTCATGCTAGTCTACTATTGGAAGAGATCTTGAGGTATGTGACAGTTTACCCAGCTCTTGAATTCTTTAAATCTGAGAAGCTTGTCTTCCTATGAGATGTAATGTAATTCAAGTACATTGTCATTAGGCAGGATGCATGATTCGTTCAAAGGAATTTTATGCCATGCCTTTACAAACTTTAAACCAAGTGATCATAAATGTTCCTCTCTGGCATTAACATCTGTAAATTGAATTGCTGCCCTGATGAAGTCAACAGCAATTTTCACCCTGCTTTCTGTTGGAGCAGGATTTTACTCCACAAATGCATAAATGTTTGCTGTTTGTGTTCTTGACTCCGATGGCTTGATATCACCTAACTATAATTGGTGATTGCTTATCTACTAAATTACAAAGTGACTCTGGTGATGCCTCTTAACCATTACAGAAGCTGATTACTTGTATGCATGGCCCATTACAACTCATTCCTTTTTTACTACGTTCACCCTTTTCCTCTCCCCTTACTAAGATATATGTTAATACGTTGGTGAAGATAAGAGTGGTTCATTGGACCTCATATAAATAGCTTGTAATGGAATAAAATTTACTTAAGAACTTTTGAAATTGTGTTACTATTAAAAATGAAGCATGCCCATTATGTTTACCAACTTGCTGGTAGCTTCACTTGAGATCCAGCTAAATCTCTGAGATTAAAAGTTCCCACTAGCTGATTTGCTCTTGACTTTTATCTCACAGTTCATGTCATTTGCTGTTCTGTGAAGTTCTGAAGTAGTTTTTACAGAACAAAATAGCCCTCCAAGGCAAAAGTGAATGCTTGAAATAATAGACCAACTATGCATTTCTACAGGTGCTAGCTAGGAATAATGTGAAGGAACATCATTAGAAAATGTAGCATGCTTGTGAATGGAATCCCTTCTACCAGTAAGACTATTATTATGGGCAATTAGATTTACAAAGCTATTGACTGGTTGCATGAAAGGTCTGCTTTTTTTCTCTCTCTGACTACCAGGTACATGATGGACGAGGCAGGCGTGCACAAAGCACAATACATCATTAATCTTTGGGTCTAATGGGGTTATAAGTACTGTGTCAGTACATCAAACTCACACATCCATCTGCCTATCAGAACAGATTACACACTCTACAGCACTCAAGAGACAGAAAACCGATACCAACTGATAGGCCATCAGGACATCTTTAAAGTCTGGCATAATTATCTTACCGCCACTTAAGTTATGTTAGTCTGTAGCTTTACTTCTTCAGGAATTTGAGAGGAATAGAGCTAAAAATGAAAAATTCCATAAAATCATGAAGTCCATTCTGCCAAAGAAAGGAAAAATCCTTACTCATAATTTTTATTATTCTGAGGAAAAATAATTCTCACAGGAAGTTTTTGCAGAGTGGTATGAGATCTATCACAGATATACAATATAAACCATATGAATGCAATGCCTTGAGATATGAAATCAATAATTACAGGATAAGCAAACAAAAGGAGAAAGCTTGTATATTTCTTTACTCCTATGTTTTACCATGCGTAAATCATAGAGGTGATTATTACACTTAACAGGAAACCTTAACTTATATTTTAATTTGATATTTTACAACTGTCCCTGTTTAAAATGCCATGTAAAATAAGTGTTATTTGCTTTAAACACTACCAAGATGTTATGCTAGAAATGTACATGATCAGTGTAGTTTTTGCATGTACTTTAGGAGAGATGGCATATGAATTTAAGGTACAAGACAACACAGCAGTGCTTGAGCTACTGTCTGTTATAACAGTGTTAATAGTGCTCCCTGGGCATAGTGCCATAACTCGTAATCATTTTGCTTCCAGTTCATCAAACTGGCTTAAACTGGGTCTTTGAATGCTAACTCGCATTTCTATATATGGCACTGCAATGTGTCACATGCTTTAAGTGGAACTGCTAGATGTTGGAAGGGTAAGAGGAAAAAAAGATGCCAGGTTAGACACAAGATAGTCACAGTGCTGAGTCTGTTAAATATACGGTGAAAAAGCTGACCAGAAAAGTAAGTGGAAAGCAAAGTTTATAGTCAATGGATTGCTATTAATGTCCTTATTTTGATGTAAAATATGAGTATGGGATTTTTTTCATTGATACTTGATTTTTATTATTCTTGAAAATAAAATTGATTGTCAACTAACATATTTCTTTTATTTTGTTAATGAAAAAAATAAATTTGATATTCTCTGTAGATCCCCATGCTGTGTCAGAGATTACAGGTATGTAATCTCTGTGCATACTTTTTTGGATGACATTTTATTTTGGAGGACAGAGTTGTACTTTCTTAAGTTCCTATGTAGTCTAATGCTGAAATTAACTGCATATGTAGAATTTATTTCTTATTGGTCTGTTTTAATAACATATAATATTTTCAAGGTTTTTTTTAATTTTGTTTAAATAATAATAACCAAGGAACATTCTCTTAGGTCTGCTATTTTGGTCTTCTAGATCATATATCAAGCATAAAATTGATGAAGATGAGTGACCTCTAACTTACATACATGCATCCTAAATTCTGCAAGTTAGTCTAGCTGAGTTTTGAATAATAATAAAGATTCTATTCACTCGGGTTTTTTTACTTACTTTTTTTGCTTGTATTTACAAAGTCAATTCCTATACTATGTGCAATCTGGTTTAGCCATATTTAGACACATTTTTCACTTTGTGGGGCTTACTGAACACAAGGGAAGGATGCAGATTCAGGCTGACATTCAATACTGACATTCTTCCCATGTGAAATTTTGGAGATGCATGTTACGCTACACTGAATTTGAGAATTGTTTCTCTGGTTATTCAATGCAGTGAAACTGTGCATTAGAGGACTTGGGAATGAAAAGGAGTGGAAAAAAACCCCCAAAATTTACACATTCCCTTTAGTTCATAATACTTGATGCACCATCTACTGAATATATTGTGCCCACTCCCACCAATATTATATTAACCTGTTTCTTTATTATGCATACCACAGTAAGGATACATGGGAATATGGCATACTCTGTAATATCTTCTAAAAAAAAAATACCTTTTATAGTCAGTCCATCCTAACAGTTACTTTCACAAGTGATTAATATTATGGATACTACATGGTACATTTTTTATCTCAAAAATCTCTTGTTCGTATAGCTGCTTTTTAATAATAATTTTGTTGAAAAATTCTTTCTCTTCTTCACTTTGACTTGTAAAAAACACAGTTTTTTCAAACTTTGTCAAAAATACAATCTTAAAAACTTTCTCACTTATTTCCTGCTGGTCCCAATGTGGAGTATTGACTAAAGCTCAGTAATTTTATTCTTATTTTATGGAAACATAAAACAAATGAATATTAATTAAAGTCCTAAGTGTCACAAAATGGTTGCGGAGAGTAAAACCAAATAATCTTTCACAACCCAGTGGCAATATTCATACTGAATACCACAGTCTTTTGGATCTGTATTCTGAAATCTATTGACAAACAGTGCATTGGAGCTGCCATTCCATGATTTAACTTTTTTTAAGTGGCAATTTAAAGAAATGTATTATTGAAAAACAAATTTTAAAACCTGTCTTTTCACTTCACTATGACACCATCTGAAAGCAATTTTCTAAGCTTCTTTAAAATATTTTGAATTTCTGTGTGGGGTGTATTGTCTCTTCTGCTATTTCTTTAAATGAACTTCACTGTACTAAGTCAGGAAATGATCACTTCAAGTTTCCCAAGCAGCCAAAAAGCCTTTACCTTTACACAACAAAATAATACCTCCCTTGCTGCTGTCTCAAAGTCCTTTGCAAACATAAAATTCCAAACAGCTCTGTGTGAGAGAGATAAGTACTGTACCATAATCAACTCCATTACCTATAAAGCTTTACTGCTCAGCTCTAAGTAGAATTTCTACAAGCCAACAGCTTCAAATTAAAGGTGATCTAATTTTTTTATTCTGTGGATTTCTGTATACAGCATGTGTTGACCTACTCACATTTAACTTGTTTTTATCCTTGTTTGTAATGTTACTTTAAATTATCACTTGTGGTACACAGCAGCTGGTCCCCAGGACAACAGAGAGTACATTTTCTGGTGACTGGGTAGCAGAACTGAATGATCTTGAACTTCCTACGGTCATCCATAGCCTTTCCCATATCCACCAATCTCTCAATATCTGTCACTGTAAGCCCTGTTTTGCTTTTTTCCTAGAGTAATGGAGAACTCAAGTCAGATGTGATTTTCCTTTCTGCACCAATTTCATTGCAGTTAAGAGCCTTCTCTTTTTCCTTTGTTTTTCTATTTTTACTCCTCAAAAACTGTTGGTGAATTATATTGTATGTTGAAAATCATGAGTATGGATTGATCAAAATTATATGTGAATATCCCAAAATTGAGGAAATATTAAACAAACAAGCAAACCACAAGATCCTCACAACTTTCAGTGTTCTATTTTGATATTTTGAAAGTCAACTTTAAAAATTATTTTTAGTTTTGAAAATGTTACTGCTATTTAAAAGTAAAATAAACGTTGGAAATTAAATTGAACATCAGTCTAAAAAAAAACTTAATTTTTAAAATTCTGCTAAGAATATCAGAAATATGATCTCTTCAGGTCAAAGTGAAGGGAGCCAAGGGAAAAAAAAGTCACTATTGTACATCTGTAATACAGGACAGCATATCATAACAGAGAACAATAAGCTCTTTCTACTCAGCTAACCTTTGCTTTCTTTCTTCTTTTGCACTGGACTCACTACGGTAGGGTTTCCAATCTTTATCCCTTGAATTCATTTGTCCAGAATTTAAGTCTATCTGTAATAGAATAAGTGAATCATGAATGTTTCCTATTGTGAGTAATTTTTTCTATCTTTTCTGATCAAGATGTATATGAACAGAAAGTTTCCCCACTCTGTCATATTCATCTAATCCTTTCTTCTACTTTCTGACTTAAAATTTTTAGAAGAGAGAACACTCACTTTCTAACTCATTTTAGGGTCACTGGGTTCATCACATTTCTTTCACATTTGCTTATAACATGATCTCCAGAAGTATAGAGAAATTCCCAGCCTCCTGCTGTGGGTTCCAGTCAGGTAATGAAAGGGCTTTGTTTTCATTTTTGTCCTTCCTGACCCTGGCAGATAGCTTGTATGTGCACATGCTTCTTGTTTTGATTCTTATATAGTTGTTCCAGGTTTTTCCTGTCTTTTCATTAATCTGGAGAATAACAAATCCATCTTTTTTTTTTTTTTTTTTTTTTGTATGTGTATGGAGATTTTGCTCTTTTCCTTTATCCTTTCACTGTTTCTTCATTGCCAAGTCACTTCGATCATGACTGAAGTAATTTCTGACGGTTGTAGAAAGAGAACAAGCGTTGATGGGGAATTATGTTTCTACTGAATCCAATGAAAATGAGCTGACCTGGAAGAACCAACAACTCTTTTCCTCCATTGTTACATTTTTCCCCCCATGCTTCCAACTCAGCATTTCTCTTAAATATCTGCATCTAAGAGAATTTGAGGGCACCTAATGGAAGTGCCGGTAGCTTACAGTTGTGGTCCTTTGGGACTTCCCATACACAACCTCTTGCATAGTGAGTTGTTTGGTAGCCTAAATGCATGGCACTATATCTGCAGTCAAAAGCTGCCCAAAGGATCCTTATTAAAGGCCAAAGGAAATAAATGTACATGGAAAATTTTTGGAAGGTTATCTGGGGACCATGCCATGTCCAAGAATGGTCACATGCCCAAATGTCTCCTACCCTCCCCTCCATATGAATACTTGAGCTTACAGAGGACCCTTCAGTGGGTATGGAGCAAAGGACTGTATTGCTGAGGGTCATGTTACTGATGAGAGGTGGATATTAAACCTAATTCTGTAGAGTGTATATTCCTGTGAAATCACTAATTGCCATTAAAAACATTGAGTCAACACCCATTGAAATCAGTGTATGGATTTCCATCATTATTAGTGGGCTTTGGTTAGGTTCTGCATTATATACTTTAACTTTTGAATCTGTTAGATTTTTTAAAATGTGCTTGTTTAAAAACTAGGGTTTTTTAAAATCTATTTTTCTTTGTTGAAACAGCCTGTAATCTCACCCCCAAGAAGGCTTGTGTGCTTTCGAATCCACACATTATTAAGCATAGATTTGTTTTAGTTTCATAAAACATTAAATAGTCTTCCAGATAAAACTGGTTTTGTTTCCCTCATGTACAGAACTGCTTGGTTGTCATAACAATGAAAGCCAAAATAAAATATGTGAAGTGTAATGAAATCACTCAGTTTATTTGTAGTGCTAATGGCATTATTCAGTTCAAAGGATTTTATTAAATCATTGAAAATTCAGGAACAAATGATGAATAATCTAGGAAGACCTGTTAAGTAGCAGATGTGACTGAAAGATTGACACACATTATGCCAATTAAAATACAATACTATAGCTCACTGGGTAAAGAAGAGATAATGGTGCAGCCCAAACCTAGATTTACTGAACGTTACTTTCAACAAAACTGCGGGTGAAGACAATGAGTTTTGTCTGTGCTAGAAATACAAGATCCATCCCAGAATGACTTCCATGGTCCCAAGCTGACAACAAACTTCTTGGAAATAAGACTTCTGATCAGCACTGTGTTCATTATGACAATCTAACATCTTCCATTTGTTAGTGTTTTGTCCCTCTAAAGCCAGTGAGATTTTTGTCATTTAGTTTAACTGGAGCAGGGTAAAAGCTCTGTTTCTGCAGCCCAGCTACTGAGCAGGCTGGCCCCAAATTGCCAAAGTGTGTAAGCTTGTGAATAGACCTATTGACTTAATTGACATTGCTCATCTGCCAAAAAATAAGAGGAACAATTCCTTCTTGGCTCAAACCTTGCCCACTCATGCACTTCCTGGATCCCAGAGCACATAGTTTACTTTCCAACATGCTCTGGTGCACTGAAGGAAGCCAGGCTATTATTCTGGCCTAAATATTCACAGCTTAATTGAAAAAATTAATTTCTCATAAACTGAGATAAAAATGTGTCACCTGTCAGTTGCTAATTTTATTCCGTGACAAAGCAGGAGGGGACCAGACTGTGGTGGCCCTTAATGAAAGTCAGCAGGGTGGGAGTGGTATATAAGAAACTCTCTCAGTTTAGATAGTCACTTAGGGACACCCTGCAACAAGACGCTTTCATTTTTTCCCAAAGAAGGTTTGTGCTATTTCTACAAGGGACAGTCTGTCACTGGAAGAAGAAGACCAAAGAGCGAAATTCAAAGAGAGTAAAATAGTCAAAGGGATAGCTGTTTTATTCAAGCTGTTTGAACCTGAACAAACTTCCATTTGTGAGCTAAGGGCCTGATATAAAGCTCAGAAAAAATCATTATAATATTTCCGCTGACTTCTGTAACTTTGAATGTAGCCTTTCTCAATTTTTTAAAACTCATTTTACAATCCTATTTGCCCACCTCTAATTCAGCTGTGAAATCACATCCATTACAAGTAGCATCAATTTGAAAGTGTAATTGCCCTACTGTGGAAAATTATGAGAAAAGATTAATTAATATCTTCATATCTCATACTTTATATAATGACTTTGTCATAACTGAAATTGTCCTTCCCTTATCATATTGTCATTTTCTTCAGGTTTTAACTGGATGTTACACTTGAAAAGGTCAATTGTGGTAAGTTTAAAAAAATACATGAATCTGTAGATGAACAACTGACATTTAACCTAAGTGATGATGCTCTGCTTTTTAACTGTGAGTCTGTTTAATTTAAAACCAATTTGGATCCATTCTTTGCTTCATTGCCAGTGCAGTGAAACTCCAAAAATTTGACCCAAGTGAGTATAACTCAAGATGGAATAGATGCTTAGTAGATATATATGTCTCAGTCTCATAAATTCTCTGGAGCAAATGTAACTGAATTAAGGGAGAGGTTTTTTTTGTTGGTTTCTTTTTATTTTTTTTTTTTTTTATATATAATTTACTTCTTTTGTTACTGTGTGATACTTCTAGGTAGAAAATACCCCGTAAGCCTGTTTCCTGAAGAACATCTCCCTCTGATTTACTGACTCTACTTTGTCAAGTGTTTGCTTCCATGGCAATTGACTGCTGTTAAGTGTTGGTGCTGAGTAAACTTTTAGTAAAATCTTAACATGTTCTAATTGAGTCTGAGCTGGAGTGACAGCTTCATAACGCTGTTTTATCCACTGATGATCCATTTAAGGCTTTATTCTGACATCATTGACTGGGAGTAGTATCCTTGCTGAAGTCAGCTGAGCTTTTAACAAAATAAGGGAGTGTTTGAATTGAGCAGGCACCTTAGGATCTACCACTAATCTATCTGTTTCTTTCTTATGTACCTTGCTGTGTAGTACAATGATCTTTGTTCATTGTGGCCATCTGGACAATAAGTGGGAGATGAGTGATGGATTTGGGGGGTTGGGGTTTTTGCTCTGTTTTTAGTGTTTTCTGGTTTTATGCAATGTAGAGGTATGCATTATGGACATGTAGGCCTCCAGTCATTTTTCTTCTCAACTATCTGGGCCTACTTAACTGCCTTCTCACTGGCTGCTTGTCCTACACCTGCAAACAAAAGTCCTTCAGCTTCTCCTCAGTGTCTTCCTGCAACTTCCTGGAATTCCCAATGCAATGTTTCTCTTCCACACAATAAACATCCCACAGAAACACTTTCTAGGGCATCAATATTTCTTCATTACATCAATTTGTCTTTGGGTGTCTCCCCTCTTAACTGTTGAACACATACTGTCATCACCACCTGCCAGGGAACCTGTGCAAGCAGTTGCCCAGGTTGCTTCAGGCTGTCCTCTTCCCTGTTTATGGCATGATGAGGGATAGCACACACACACACACAGAGCTATCATCAGAAAACCTTGTTAGCTTTGAACATTAGACTATGTGAGGTAACAACACAGTTTTTATCACAGTTTGACATCATATTTAGCTTTTGTTCAAAGAAGTATGCAGGTTCTTCCTGTCCCAACAGCTCCCTTGGTCATTACCCTCAATAAGAGAATGACCAGAGAAAACAAGGATAATGGCACAGCTCCAATCAGTTTGGTACTAGGATATTGTGTGGATTGCTTTTATTTATTTTTTTATTTAGTCATACTCATATCTCCTAAATATATCCCAGCAGTGAGCTGCCTACATCTCATTTCAAAATTTCTTGCAATTACAGAAGATTATATGTCACTCAAAGCTGCAGCTGTCCCAGCTGTCTTTTACTGAATGACCCACGGTCTCACCTGTGGTAGATTTACCATGTGCATGTGAGTTCAAGCACTCTATCGTAAGAAAATTATGTAGCAAGTCTGACTCAAATGCAGGTGCTACATCTTATGTGTGCAGAGTTTCTATCCAGATATTCTTTAAGAAATTTCAGATTACTCTCTTTTATCAGATTTTTTTTCTTTTTTTTTTTCTTTTTTTTTTTTTTCAGTGTCTAATTTTCCTCTCTATTTATCTGTGTACTAATGCACTCCGGGATCCTGTTCCCCACTCTTGTCTGTCTCATAGGACCACTGCTTAAGTCTACAGTGTCACAGAGCAGCTGGTAGTATTTAGTGACCTCCTGCTCTATTAGATGGAAATTGATTTTCCTCTTCCAAGCAAGTGAAAAATCCATAATGTTCTCCATCTGCTTCACTTGTGCAGCAGCACTAGCAATTGAAGCTATAGGAGAAGATACAGCTCTTCAGACATCATAAATGGCAGTATCTTTTCTGACTATCAGAGTAAGCAGACTGTGGTAAAGCAGTTGTCTGGCAGTTTGAAGAAAAACTGTTAAGGACCCGCTGGCTGAGGTTTCTTTGGTAATGTTTGTTGCTGAATTTCCCCAATAATGTTTCACCACTGCAAAGTCACCTATAACTAGTTATATTATGTGGCCACAAATATTAAAATCTGAAAGTAATTGCAAACCATAGCCCCACCCAGCTTAATTGGAGAAATACTACCCAAACAACAGTACACAGATGTGCTTCTATGAGTAGAAAGCAAAACCAGATTTTATTTCGGTAGCAGCAATTTACCTACTCTGCCTCAGATTTAAATCATATAAAAATCAGTATTTATGACAAGTATTTGCAAAGAAGTATTCAATGCAATCATGTAGTGCCACATCTTTGGGAACTTTCAGTTACCATCAATCTGGACAGCAGTGCTTTTTGAGCACTCCCTCACGTTAAGGGTGCTGTTCATGAGTTCAGGGTGCATATTTTCATCTTTGTTTTCATCTATGTATCTGAAACTTTGAAATTAATTCCTGTTTGATATAAGAATGACCAAAAATATCAACTCTCCAGCATTACTGTAAAGCATTTTTGCTTGATCTTACTTTTCTTCACAGCAGCTCAAAACCAATTAGTAGCTGAGGAATATGTGCACCCAGATACAATATAACATATTTTTATGTGAGGAGAGGGAATGGAGTAGAAACTTGGTCAACATAGCTCACCTTGATGGGTGCTTAACTGTATGAGGTATTCAGACACCACAGTCTTGGGTGCAGTATAAGAACCTGCATAGAATACAATGAAACTAAAAAGGAGGGAGTATATAGGCACATTAACACTACGGGGAAACATTTTCCAACAATATAAAGAATATATTTTCTGGGAACAATGTCCCGTTTTTTTTTTATAGCAAGCCAGATGGAAATTTTCAAGCAGATATACTCACAGTAAAAGAAATTAACCAGACATTCATATGATAACTACTGAGGTTTGTCACAAGATAGCCAGCCTGCAGTCATCAAACAAGTAGGAGTATTGTTTAAACATAAACAATTCCTTATTTTATCATAATTTCCAGTGAAATCAACACCCACCAGGGGATGAAAAAAAATATAGGGAATTGGTAAACTGAAGTTCCAGTTCATCCAGTCACCTTTTGTGCAATCTAGATATATGATATAGCATCAAGACTGTTTATGGTAGCGTATTTTCATGTAAAATGGGAATATGAATATCGCTCTTCTTTATCCCACAGAAGAGCTATAAAATATCACATAAGCTGTAACTTTCAGGAAAGATAATAAGAACAAAATGTTATGTAGGGTACTATCACCAGTTCGATTGTGTTTTCATTTTACCTATTAATGACCATGCTTTCTTGAAATAGGGACAGGTTTTGACATTGTGGGAGTCAGGTTTTCTCTTGAAGCAGGGCACAAAATGAATGGGCTGCAACCATTCTAAGTGTTATATCTTTGACATTCAAGTTTTTTGAGGAGACCGAGCCCATGGGGGAGCCCTGCAGAGATAGTGGTTCCTATGAGGGAGATCCAACTCTATCAGTCTGGACTTATGCAGAGGCAACTACACAAGCATGACTGAGGTGTTAAAGACCAGACAAAAACTGAAGAGGGAATTGTGGCATGCATGAAATTCAAAAATTCTCCTGCTTTTTAGTGCCTACTGTATCACCTCCAAAGTTACTCTTTAAAAACCTGTGTGCTCATGAATGTATTTATACATATAGAGATGACTATACATGTGAGATTAAAGTAGGCATGGGCTAATACTGTGTGTATCTGGAAAGGCATGGCTAGCATTCAAAAAAAAGGTATGTCCTTTACTATCTGAATTAGATAAAAGTTTAAAATAAAAACAAAGATTATTAGGATTTTGAAATGGGTTAAACTTTGAAATTCACACCTGAAGAAGTTACTTAAGTTAAAAACAAGTATCTCTACTTTTATAGTCTATCTGTGAAAGTGGGCAAGTAAGTCCCCTACTACAATGATTCATCTAGCCCAGCATTCTGCCCTGACAGTAGCAAAAAGAGCCATTAGTCAGCAAGGGGAAAATGAATCTGGGCAGTTTTTCAAATCCATTCACCTGTTCTTACTGACATCCGCAAACACTGTATTAGGCACATCAGAAAGTGCATGCCTCCATATTCCCTTTATATCTGTCTATAGTCCTGTTCATGAATTTGTTCACTCTTTTGCAACCACTCATCCTTCTGTCTCTACAGCCTCCTGTGGCAGCAACACCTAAAGTTCATCAATTGCTCTCTAAAGAGGCATTTTATCTGTCTGTTTTAAACTGATGTCCCACTAGTTTTAACAAGTACCCTTAATACTGCAAGATGGGGTGAATAACAGTCCTGCAGTCACGCAATCCACCACTTCCATCATCTTGTAAACCTCAGTCAGACTGCCTACGCACATTATCCTCATCAAATTTAAGATCCCACAGTGTTTGACCTCTTCACATATGTCGATGCTTCAAAACTTGACTGTGTTTCTTGCCTTTCTCTGCTTCCAACTCTGCTACATCTGTCTTGGGATGTGGAGACCAGGACTGCATAAAATATTCAAGACGTGTTCCAAAGAATTTTACAGAGGCAGAACAGAACCCTCTGCCTTGTTCTCAAAGTCCTTCCTGACAATGTTCAACAGGACACTTCTGTTGGCCGCTGCCACACATGGACGTGACCATTTCAGAGAACAACCATGGTGACTCCACAGCCTCTTTCCTGAGTTGTCCCAGTTTAATTTCAGCAGCAAATGTTTTAGATTATTTAACTGTAGTTTGTCCTGGGTTTGAGTGAGTTGTGGAGTTTTTGGGTAGCAGGGGAGGGGACTACAGCAGTGTCCCCCTGTGAGAAGATTCTTGAAGCTCTCCTGGCTCCAAGTCAGACTCACCTCT